ATGCAGGGGTTCATTTACGTAGTGGGTGGGGATGGGGACGGAAGCCAGAGGTCAGCTTTGGGTGTCCCTCAGCGACCTGTCTGCCTCTGCCTCCACAGTACTGGGATTACAAGCATTATCTACCTGTGTTCTGGAAAACCAACTCGGGTTCTCATGCTTTCCACCGAGCCATTTCGGCTCTCCCTGCCCCTCAGAGCCACCTCTTTCTATTTGTGTAATTACAATCTTTGTTTTGTTTTTGACACGGAGACTTGCCTTGTAACCCAAACTAGTCTTCAACTTGTGACCCTCTCCTACCTTAGTCTCAAGAGTGCTAGGATTAAAGGCATGCCCTACTCAAGTGTTAACTTAAAAGATATTATTTGTGTGTAACTGTTTGTGTCTGTGTAGGGATGTGTATGTGAGTACAGGTGCCCAAAGAGTCCAGAAGGTTTTGAATCCCCTGGAGGTAGACCCCCCAACCTCAACCCACAAGACAGGATCTCGCTAAATAACTCTAGCTGTCTTAGAATTCACTATGCAGATCAGGCTGGCCTTGAACTCAGAGATCTACCTGCCTCCGTATGTGCCACTGTACTCAGCTTCCCTAGAGGTAGATTTATAGGCAGTTGTGAAACACTGGGAACCAAATTTAGGTTCTCTGCAAGAGCAGCAAGTGCTTTTAGCCCAGGTCACCTCTCTAGCCCTAGTTACAAGTTTCCAGGGGGTATGTGAGAACTGCAGATGCTGAATGACTCCAAACTGTCCCCGAGTGCACATCTGTGCAACAATCAACCGAATGTAGAAGGGTAGTGCTCCTGGCAGGGACCAGTCAACAGACCAAGAGGAAACCTCCCTTTCTTATTTATACTCACCTCCCATCTCCTCCAGTTCTTCAAGATGGAACTACCTTTATGTTTGCATTGATTAAAAAGAGCAGTGGAAGTTCAGAATTGAAGGAGACATTGGAGACTCGGAGAAAAGTAACAACATGGCCTTCACTTTAAGCTCAAGGGGACTCAGAACATGGGATAGATTTGTGTGAAGTTGTAGTTCTCAGAAAAACTTCTTACAATCGTCCATATTGCAATAAACCAAAAATTCCTTACAACCACATATTCATTTTTTGATAAATGAGTACATTACCACAAGAAAGAATTTCCAATTCCAGAAAAAATATTGAAATTGGGCAAAGCTGCAAAGTACTAAAGGGAAAATTATTAGAACCATATGACCTGACCATATGTTTCTGCAGGCATTTGTAACCAAAGTAAACATTGAAATTTGTCGTGAATGGGTCACTTTTGAGAGGAAGGCAGCAGGGAAAATTTCATGTTTTAGCTGAGTCTTTCATATAAAGTGTCGAATGGTAGATATTATCATAGAACTTGTTATGTTCTTTTTAAACAGGCAGAAAGTTTAAATGGATTCACTGAGTTTTGAAAACCGGGGCATAATAGCTACTAGAAATGCATGGAATGTAGTATTGCATTTCAGGGTACACACAGGGTCTGGGGTAAATCACAACGCATCTCTTAGTCACTTCTAGCCAACATTAGGAACAGGTATTAGAAGGATAGAAGGAACATGACGAGCATTCTAGAAATCAGTTGGGAAATTTCAAAAGGGAAACAGGCAATGTGAGAAATCCACACAAAGAGGATGAGGTCACTTGTATATAATCACCGGCTCTTGTTTTTTCAGAACAGCTGCTAGAATTCCCTCCCTTTTCTCTGAACTGTCTCCATGAGTTACTGCTCATCTTCCACCCAGGTTAAGTCTGCTAACTCAGGAGGGGAGCTGCATGCCTTTGGAGCGTTTATTTGCGGTCATCATCAGAAACAGACGGACAGACGCTTGTCTATTCCAACATGACGTAGGTATCTGCACATTTGTTTTGTATAAACTGAGTTTGAGATGCTGTCTTGATTTTTAATTTGAGATTATTAAGACAGTGAAACTTTTTTTTTTTAAAAAAAAGGTTTATTTTTACACGTATAGGTGTTTTGCCTGCACTATGACTGTGTACCACATGTATGCCTGGTACCCATAGAGGCCAGAAGAGGGTGTTGGATCCCTTGGAACTGGAGTTATAGATGGTTGTCAGCTGCCATGTGGGTGCTGGGAATCGAACACAGGTTCTTTGGAAGAGTGCTCAAAACCCAGCTCTCCAGCCAGTGGAAATTATTTTTAAAAATGTCAATACTGCTCTTCAGTTTAGAATTCCCACGGAAGTGATTTGGTGACTTACTCACTTCAAGACTTTGGAAAACCCTAAGCAATTTAGCCATTAATTTACCTTCACTCTTCAGGAAAGGCCGATAAGCCACCAACACCATTTTTAAAGGGTTTGAGCAGCACCATTGCAGATAACACACATTTTCTTCTGCTCTGTCCTGACTCATTTAAGCGATGACCAAGGGATTTTGTTAAATATAGTTTAGCATTCAGGAACGCTTTGAATTTCCATCAGCCCCAAATCGCAGACAAACCTTTATTCATGTTTCTGAAACTAAGGTTAAATAAGATTTAGAAAAGGTGTATCACAGAAACAGTCATGTTTTCGTTACAAGTAGTGCTGATTGCATGCACGTTTCTTGTGAGACAGGCTGGCCTTGAACTCCAGGGTTCAAGTGGTTTTTCCGCCTCAGGCTCCTGAGCAGTTAGCAATGTAAGCAGGCCCTATGTTCCTCATAGCAATCTGTTAAGGTGTTTGTACATGTGTGTTAATCAATCAGAAGAAAACTCTAGTTGTGACAGCAAATTATCATTAAAATTGATTAGTAACAACATGCAATGCTTGTCAAAATAAATTATGGCTATAAGCCATCACAAAGAATGTGACTGAATGTCTTTATTAGTAGTATGTCAGCTCATTCACTTTTTGGTTATCTGCAATTGTGCTTTAGCCTAAAAACGGCTTGAGAAAGTCAGTGTGAGGTAAACTACATTAAAAACCATGTGGTATGTTGCTACAGATATAACTGTGGTCTGAGCATCAAGTCTCTCTGGACCTTGGTTACCTCAAATTTACTATAATGAAGTATCACCTGTGTTGCTGACTCTGGCAGGATGCTGCAACAACCAAACAAGCCAATGCTGTGCAGCTCGGTGTAGCAGCATCTCTACATCTCTACAGGGAAGGGTTTTAGACCTGCTCTTCTCCTGCTTTGTCCCCATCAGGGAAGTTAACAATGCCATGCAGAGGGCGCTACAAGATCTGAAGGCATGATCAGGGGAAGCAGTGGATCCCGTGAACTCAAGAATATACTGCAAGACTGTAAGCACGCGATCCAATGTAAAAATTACAGGAAACATGTCAAGGGCCGGTGAGATGGCTCAGGAGGTTGTCAAATCTGACGACCCTGACAGACGACCCTGGTTTGATTCCCAGGACCCATACAATGGGGACTAGAGCTAACTCCTGCAAGTTGTCCTTGAACTGCTGCACTCACAACATATCTCTCTCTCTCTCTCTCTCTCTCTCTCTCTCTCTCTCTCTCTTTCTCGAGTGCGCGCACACACACGTTAAGATGTTTCCTATGTTAAACAAACTGTTTACGGACCTAGTATAATCTTAACACATATATCCTGATATATGCCCACACTCAACAATACAGTTGAGTGCCTTGTTCTCATTCCGGCTTTCACCATGTCTACTGCTATGTGAACTACGACATAAACTCCTGGTGGAGGTGACCCTTTCAGCTATCTTGGGTATTCTGGGTGTAGCACAGCTCTAGATGCAAAGTAGACTCTCAAAGTATATTAGATGGATGGGTACATAAATGGCAGACAATATGGAAAGCTATTCCCTAGGAGAAGAGTCACAATGTGCAGGTCAACTAATTGTATATCATGCAATGAAATAATGAATTGCATATCATAACATGTTTTCAATGTACAAAATACAATATATAATAAATATTTTCTTTGGATGTAAACAGAATAAAATTAATCTTGTTGCAGGGCAGTAACAGGAATGCAAGGCTTTTACAAAGCATCTGATATCAAGGCTAATCAATTAGCTGACATCCAGTTCACAGTTTAGAATCCAACTACATCAGATTACTGCTGCTTATCTCAAACAAAATTGCAGAAACACAACACCCTTTTGCAGATAAAGGTACATTCTTTATTGTAAAGAAAATTCTGTCCCAATTAAAGAGATAAAGGTTTAATAATATGATTGGAGAAAGACTGAGAGAATAAAATTTAGGACAAGAATTTGGAAAAAAGAAAAGTTAAGAGTCCAGAAGTCAGTCAAATGAAGTAAGCACAAGTGAGAGACGAGACACACATCATTACTAGATTGTTCCACTCAAGCTGGATGTGGTGGCACATGCCTACCACCCCTGCACTCGGGACAAAGAGGAAGCTCAGGAGTTCAAGCCCAGTTTCAGCTACCAAATTAAAGCCAGCCTGAGCTGCATGAGACTGTGTCCAAAACTACAAAACAGTCAGCATATATAATATTAGGGAAAACAAAAGCATTGAGAATAATAATTAATAAAATCTTGGGCTGGAGAGATGGCTCAGTGTCTAAAAGCACTGGCTGCTCTTCCACAGGATCCAAGCTCTAGTTCCAGCACCCATGTAGAGTGTGTGTGTGTGTGTGTGTGTGTGCACGCGCGCGCACACACACACACACACACACACACACACACATAACTTTTATTATGTTTTGGGGTGCTGGGGATAGAACCTAGGGCTTTACATTTACTCAGCATGAAGCTCCGGAAATGGTGCAGACCTGCAATCTTAGCTCTTGGGAGGCCGAGGCAGGAAGATCCTGTGTTCAAGCCCAACGCCAAAATTTACTGACATCTTGTCTCAATAAATGTGCTAAAAATTATTGTTAAAAATATTCCTTTAGGGCCGGGCGGTGGTGGCGCACGCCTTTAATCCCAGCACTCGGGAGGCAGAGGCAGGCGGATCTCTGTGAGTTCGAGGCCAGCCTGGGCTACCAAGTGAGTTCCAGGAAAGGCGCAAAGCTACACAGAGAAACCCTGTCTTGAAAAACCAAAAAAAAAAAAAAAAAAAAATATTCCTTTAGCCAGTATTTACTATTAGATTTTCAAAGATTCATTTCTGGAACAAGCAATTTCCTGTAACGTTTCCTTTTTAACGCAATTAAAATAGTTTATCAGAGTGGAATTTGGTATAAGATGGGTTATTTTGGATCTAGTCCAAGAGCACTGGGTTACTAAAGGTAAAAAGTGGCTTTTCCAATAAAGTGATCCAGTGGCTCAGAGCCCATGGACACTAAGCTCCAAAGTGAGACACAGGAAGCCAGGCCACTAATGGTCCCATCAATGAAACCTTACTAAACAACTGTTATAAAAGACATGAAAGTCATTTAAGCCTAGTGGATCACAGCATTGGTCATTTTTGTTCCAGACAACCCTTTCCTGTGATGTTCTTCATTGTTTCATAGGATGGCTATTTCACAAGGAGGCTTAGCCTCCTTATGCGTGCACTGTCTGATGCAGCCTTACATTCTTTTAATTATGAAATATTTCACTAGAAATACTTTTTTACAAAAGAATTCAGTGCCTTTACCTATGCAGATAGACAAGACTACCAAAAGTTCACAAAGAATCAAATTTCTGTGTAGCTCACTGAGAAAGCTAAGATTAAAGAGAGGTGAGAATCGTGTGGCAATCCAATATAAAAATAATACCATTAGCTCCTGATGGCTACAACGACAGCCAGTCCTTCAAGTGATATCACAACAGGCACCTTGCACAGAGATGTTTATAAGCACTTCTAAAAGATTAAATACTTCAAATGCATCTTATTATAAGCAGAAAACATGGCAAAGTCCTATTTTCGAAAAATGTAAAAAGGGCTCTTTTTAAATAAATGTATTGAATGGAAAGATCACAAGAGGAGTAAAGCTTTATGGAAACACAGAGACAGCACCCAGTCTCAAAGCCATATAAGAATACCACACACAGTAGGACTATAGTTCAGAGTTCTCATTGATTTCCTACACAATTGGAGAAAGCTGTCAGTGGTTCATCTAAAATTCACATACTGAGTCATGAAGTCATGAGAAGAATCTACTCTTTACATGTACCTTTCTTTTCTTTTCTTATTTTTTTTTTAAAAAGATTTATTTATTATGTATACATTGTTTGCCTGCTGGCCAGAAGAGGACACCAGATCTCATTATAGATGGTTGTGAGCCACCATGTGGTTGCTGGGAATTAAACTCTGGACCTTTGGAAGAGCAGCCAGTGCTCTTAACGGCTGAGTGGTCTCTCCAGCCCCATGTGTCTTTCTTTCATCAACAATGGCCATTTTTCTCCCACTGGTAGAGTTCATGGTGCATGGCCCATGTGCTGTACATACCTTCAACCCTTGGATAAATGCAATGTCAAGTAATTACTTCATTGTTTTAAACATTTAAGACAAACTACTTGATAATTTCTACTACATGTTTTAAAAACATTTAAAAAGTAAGCCAGTAAAAGAACTTTTCTTTGTGTCTTTTACAGTTATTACTGCCAGGTGACTTGTCCATAGGGAAGGCATCATAGAAGCCAGGGTACTGCAGAGGCACAGGGACCTCACTAATGACTGTGATTTGCTATATGCCAGGTACTCTTTTACATGACCTTCCATGTTTCAATTTTAACTCTAAAAGCATCTCGTGTTATCACTAGCGAAAATGGCCTATCTCCTACTCTTAAAAGGCCAGTAGCTTACTTTTGGGACAATCATCTTGTTCAGAATGATGATCTGAGGAGACCCTCTGATCTATTACAGTATCATCCTTGTATAAAAAAAATTAAACAGTTTTGAAATACTGAGAGCATGTGGAACATCTCTGAAAACTACTTAGTAATGTACAGAGAATAGTAGATTTTGGAAAAAAATCATGTAGGGAAAGAGATGGTATTTGTGATTAAGTTGGATACCTAACTGTAAAGTGATTGGTTTGATGTTTTCCCCATAGTTTAACGATTCTTCTCAAGGCAGTTTCAAGCTGAGTGTGATACACTGTAAACCCAGAGCTCGGGAGATGGAGACGGGGGGACTGCGAGTTCAAGGCCGGAATGGAATACATGAAATCCTGTCTCAAAAACAAAACCAAAACACCCAATCAAACAACATCAAACACGGAAAAAGGGCCACTCCAAAGGTATCAGAAATGTTTAAACTGCATCAGTTAAAACAAATATCCAGCTTTCTAAGTCACTATACACATGTGTATGTTCCCAGAATGTAGAGAAGTCAGTCATCTGACCTTTTATATACAATTGTATGCTTCATTTTAAGCATTTTGTAACAAAACTGACTCAGAATAAAATAACAACAGCTATTCCTTTAAATGCCTAAAAGGATTTGCCAAGTCTTTACAATACTAAAGCCCATATTTTATAAATGAAGCGAACCCCATGGAGGCATGGTCCTGCCATGTAACCAGGAGCAGAGGCCGTTTCTGTCTTCTGCACACATTCTTTCCAGGGCCCGCTACTAGCCCTATCTATGACTTAAGAGCCACAATAGGAGAAATGGTTTCTTTCAAAACAATGTAGAAATCAGCTTCTAAATCCACAGATAAATTCCTTACCTGGTAAGCTGTCAATTCAAATTTCATGTACCAAATCTAAATGCTATTAAAATTAAAGCGAATACATGCATACATGATAACTCACTTACGTGAAAGAACATAAAAATATAATGACTGGGAATTTTGATTTGATAATAAACCATGCAGAGAAGTTGAACACTTATAAAATTTCAGTTCAGGCTGGATACAGCTCAATGCTAGAACGCCTACTCAGCATGCGAGGCCCTGGGCTTGATGTCCAGCTACACATACACATACCACTCTCTCAATTCAAATCACCCTAAAGAGTCTAAATGCCCATTCTTTGGGGGAAAAAAAAAATCAGTGGATGTAATTTTGGAATGTCAGAGGTGGCCATCTTTTATAAACACTTTATAGATACACAGTTTCACTCTCTAAAACTTGCACACACTCAAAATTCACAGTACATTCCTGTTCTTCAAGGGAGCGTATTTCAGAGACTGTTTTAAATATGTGTATATGTATATATGTAACATCTGCTTATTTATTAAATTTACATGCCAAGTTTTCCATCGTAATGTTACAGAATCAAAACTTTATACCAGAGTGTATCACATCTCTGGCACTGCTAGTGTCTGTGTATTATTTCCATATGTGTGTACATGCGTATGTGTACATGAGTGTGTGTACACGTGTACATTTGTGGTCTGTGCACACATGTGTGGAGACCAGAGGGTGAGGCACATCACTTTCTCTGATGACAGTGAAGCTTCCCCGAGTTCCCAGGTTCTTCATCGGTGTCAACAGGATCAAACAGTTCAGGTGTGAAACACAGAGTCGTCCTCTGCTTCTGCTTCAGTAGCTTTATTTGAACTGGCATGTTTGGCTTCTTCTTCACTTCCGGCAGGCAAGTCCCTGTCCAGGTGGAGGTCTTTCTTCAGAACTGATATTTGGAATATTTCAAATGGCATTCTATAACTGCATATAATTTTGTTTCTGATATTTTAGTTTTAGCAAACAAAAAGGCCCCAATTTCAATGAAATCTGCATACTCTTACCTTTTTCTCTCTAATAAACTAGTCATAAACGATTTTTTTCTTTTGACTTTGAAGCAGGCCCAGAGCCCCAGTCTTCCACTTGCTGGGAAAGCAGCTGTGTGCGCTACATCCAATCTCAGGCAGGTTAATGAAATCGCAAGCTTTTGGAGATAAACTACGATTTCCAAAAACATCTATGAATTTGCATTAAAATAGACAGTAACATATGGCTGAAGTGTGGCTAGATTCAACTGGGATTAATCTCTGTATGTTCATATGAAATCACAATGAGTGAACCACAAAACATGAGTAACTGTGAAACTGAAAGTGACCAGGAAACTAAATATTAGAGGAAGTACTCTGTATGGATTACCTACTTAAAACTCTAGAATAAAACTTGTATTTCTGAACATAAAACAGACAAATCTGATAATGACTTACAATGAAAATATATCTAAAAAATTAAAATTATACCGTTTACCCACTGTGCAAATTATTATTTACACAAGGAGGCTTAACCAAATCCTGACGGCATTAGCTGAGGTCAGGGAGGCCCTCACACTGCTCCCAGGTCCTCATGCCCACGCACGAGTTTCCCCAGGTCAATTCGCTTCGACAAGCTGTTGGCTTTGTTCTCTCCCACCGGGCATGACTCCATTCAGCCTGGTTCTGTGCGGCCTTCGATTTCATTTCTGCCGGAACCCAGTTCCCGTTTCAAAGAGGTCTTCAGCTGAGAAACAATCCGAATCATTACTGGATCTATCGGTTTCCACTAGTTCCCCGTGTTCTTCATCGGTGTCAACAGGATCAAACAGTTCAGGTGTGAAACACTGAGAGTCGTCGTCCTCTGCTTCTTCTGCTTCCGTAGCTTTATTTGAACTGGCATGCTTGGCTGCTTCTTCACTTCCGGCAGGCAGGTCCCTCTCCGGATGGCGGTCTTTCTCAGGGCAGAAGAGCTGACTGGAATGGTTCTTCGCAGGAGTCACGTCAACCTTCACTGAAGAAATCACGATTTCTGACTGAGGGCGAGCTGCGAACGATGCCCCAGCTGCTTCGTTGGAGGTCACACGTTCACCCGTGAGGGGCAAAGCGGTTTTGTCTTCTGTCTTGGAGGCGGAAGAACCAGAAGCGTGGCTCTCTGAAGACACGAGGGCAGGTGCGCAATTCTGTACTGTCCTAGTGCAGTGCCGTCTCAGAGAATTAAAGACAGGCCAGCTGACTGGTTCTGTTCGCTTCCCGAAAGTGGGGCTGGAGGATCTGGAAATGCCATTTCTCTCTGTTTTCACTGTTTGAACAGATTCTCCTCTTAGCACTGGATCACCTAGGAATACAAAAACTTAAGTTAGTGTCAACTCTGTGCTCCTAGGGAACATTAACTGTTATGTTAAAATGTTGTTTTTTTTTTTTTAAAGTTAGAAATACTTTAACAGCAGTATAAAATACACGGTCAGCACCTACCACCAGCAACACTGAACTTTCATCTTGGAATTTAAAGGCGAGAATGTCAACTCTAAAGAGACTGGTTCTCCAGTACTTCCTGGCCTGAGTTAGAACGGTATTTGCAAATGATCACATAAACACTGTGGTGACCCCCATGGTGCAGAAGAAGAGGAAGGATAAGAAGGAAGAGGAAATGACGGAGTGGGGAGAGAATGGGCTGCTGAGGAGCCCGTGGAGAGCGCTGGCCTGGCATCTGCAAGACTCCAGCACTGGAGGGGGCAACAAAAAGGAGAAATCTGCCTCAAAAATCCACCGAGTCGTGACCGAGGAAAAGACGAGCTCTCCTATGTAAAAAGTAAGCACACTGACTGTTGCAAGGCTATATATGATATTTCTCAAATTATAAAACTGGTCAGCATGTACGACCAGAACTGGATCGTGGGCTTCCTGATTGCCACTGTAACAGCCTTGAAGTCACTCTGATACCTATTTAAAAGCACATAGCGCAAAAGATTTGAAAACAGGTATGTTAAGCTACACTGATTATTAAAATTAAAATTATACCCAATCACCAGAATCTGGCATATTTTTTTTTTGTTACAGGCCAGATGGCAAATATTTTAGGTTTTATTGTCCATATTATGTCTGCTTCAACTGTTCAAGTAGGCTAGTCTGGATAAAACTACAATTACTCAACTTTGCTGTTTTGGGATTATGTAAGCAACTGAATATGAGCTAGTTGCATTAAACTTCAAACATAAAACAAGCCTGCAGGATGGGTCAGGATTCAATCCCTGATACAGTCCATGATTCCTAACACTTTAAAAGATTATTATTTTTTTTTTTTATCATTCAGAGCAAATGACTCACATCTCAGATTCAAATAAGGAGCGGTCCTAAATGGGACCTTTCAGTTACAGAGGCTTGCTGCAGCTAAGGCTGGCTGGCCTTGAGTTCTTGTTCTTTTTTTTTTTTTCAATTTAATACTACTTCTGTCTAAAAGTTTACATTTATTTATTGTGTGTATGATGATGGGGGCATGCACACCAGGCATGCACGCGGAGCTCAGAGGAGCAGCTTGCAGGAATAGCTTCATTCTTTCCGGATCCTAGGGATCAAATGCAGGTTGTCACATGTGGCACAAGTACCTTTACCTGCTGAGCCATCTCCCTGGTCCTGGCCTAGAATTCCTGGTTCCCTTACCTCTGCCCCCAGCGTGTTGGGATTATGGGGTTACAGGCATGTGCCATGATATCCAGCTCAGCTCAATTTTTATAAAGCCTTTAAAATAATGTCTGCCACTTACATAGTTATTTTACAATGCTATGTTTATTGTCTTATTTGAGTTTCACAATCCATCTTAGAGGGATAGATAGGTAGGCAGGTTATTCACTTTTTCTATTATAACTTAAAGAGGTCAAGTGGCTTGTTCACACTTAACAATGCTAGTTAAGGGGGAAAGCTAATGGAAAACCAGAAAATACACTTTGGTATCCTAACAAAAGTCTGTCCCCATTCAAACATACTGTATTATTTTTATGAACACTTCCTGATATAAACCAATTAATCTGTACCGAAGTCATTATCATTCCTATTATATAATGAAGCTGAAAAAGGGCAGCATTCAACATACTTTTCTTCCTGCTGGAGATAGCGTGACCCAGTACTGACGGGGTTCTGGCAGCCATTTTCGGACACTGCGGCTCCTGGACACACACTTCTGCTGCTTCTTCCCTAGAATTTTCTGCCGATAGATGACTTGCTTTTGACACACTTGTAAGAGTGCTCTCCTCCAAACAGGCCACTTCCAGAGTAGACTCATTGTCTTTCATACACTTTTTGTCTTTTTTGGCTCTATTAGTAACTTTCTGGTGCCTTTCAGAAAACTCAGTCAGGGACTCCAGGGCACTCGCAAAGGTTGAGTGGTGCTGAATCTGCTGCCTCACCCATTTAGAAAGCCCTAAAAAACAGCGGATCCAAGTGAGAAACTGGTTACTTAGTTACCAAAATATTTATGCATTAAGATTAACCTTACTGTTTCTAGTGAAGCAACCTAATTTGCATTTGAATACAAGGAATGGCTTTCAAACTTTTATTTCATATATATATTGCATGTATATGAGCTAAGAAGGGATTATGGCATGAAAAATGCATCATTAGTTTCAAAATACTGAAAGCTGAAAATGCAGGCAATGTGCCCAACCCACCCAATCAGAGCTTAGCCACACAGGGAGCTGCAGAGCGCCGGCTGTTTGCTGCCGTGATCACGGGACACACGGGGAGCCGAAGCTCCTCCCTGGTGCCAGCATCTCAGACACACTGATCCTCAGCCAGGCAAAGAGCAAACCTCTTTCTCTCCAGTGCAGTTTCTGCTGACTGTGTTCACAGCACTGTAACATTGAATCACTGTAAGTTGGAAATGTCTAGAGACTGGGCCAGTAACACGAGTCCCTGGGGGTAAGTGCTGTGCGAGTCTGATGCCCTGAGTTCAACTTCTGGAACCCGTGGGAAGGTGGACGGAGAGAAGTGACTCTACCAAGTTGTCCTCTGACCTTTACATGTGCACCAGGGCACCCTCACCCACACTGCATCGCACATGCAGGGTAAGGAGGTGTAAGCATCGGGAGGCAGAGCCAGGCGGATCTCTGTGAGTTCGAGGCCAGCCTGGACTACCAAGTGAGTTTCAGGAAAGGTGCAAAGCTACACAGAGAAAACCTGTCTCAAATACACACACACACACACACACACACACACACACACACACACAAAAGAAGGTGTAAGTAACACACCTTTCCAGGCCAACAATCTAAATTTGTCTCCTTTTCCAAAAGTAAACTCAAGATTCCAGTCTCAAAGTTTTGGTTTTTTTCCCTGTCCCTTCCTCCACTAGTTCCTCAAACTAGTCTGGGGGTGGAAGAAGCAGCAAGGCTTTCCTGGGGAAAATTGTATCTATCCAAATTGTTATTTATTCACACAATAATGAGCACAAGAGATATGACTCAATCAGGGACATGTTAAAACTGTATATGAGCTGTATAAAAGGAACCATATTAAGAGCTTAGGGTGTTTTATGTATGGTTAGTTTTATACCAAAATAAAAAATATTTAGATTTTTTAAAATACCCAGATTATCATAAAACTATCAAAAAAATCCCCTGAATGATGCTGCAAAAAACCTGTCATTGTCTTGGAACAATTAAGTTTTTAAAAGTTGTTCATTTATTTGTGTGTGTGTGTGTGTGTGTGTGTGCGCGCGCGCGCGCGCGCGCGCTTGAGTGCACGTGTGCGGGATACACGTGAGTGTGGCTTGCGAGCTCATGAAGGCTGGAGGCTGATGCTGAGTGTCTTCCCGTATTATTCTCCACCTCATTTTCTGAGACAATGAACCCAGAGCTCACAGTTTTGGCTACTCTGGTTGGCCAAGCAAGTCCCCCAGGTCTGCTTACCTCTTCCCCTGCAATTCTGGTATTGCAAATGCATGCGACCGCAGCTGCTGTGTGGGGAGCCCGCACTCAGGTCCTCCTGCATGAACAGTAAGCCTCTTACCCACGGAGCCATCCCCCAGCCCTGCAGTAACGAGCTTAAAAAGCCACCGTGGCATTATATGTTTAAAGAAGAGACACAGGGCTTCCTGAAACCCAAACTATTACACTGTAATTTCAAGTAGTTTTCTTAAAATGGAATTTTTCTGAGTTATCTATGTATGAAAATAGAATTTAAACAAAAAATTGCCATTAAAATAAATGTATGCATCATGTTAGTATTACCAAAGTAAGGAAACACTTCATAATTTACAAATGCCTGAAAATGAAATTAAAATAATCCAGAAACTGGGAAATATTTGATCCTAAAACATTAATAAATCTGAGCTATGAAATAAGAATTTGAGTTTTTACCTTTTTTAAGAAAAGCACTAACATTAACTTTATTTTGAAAAAATGATTGTATCAAATGAAAATGTAAATTCTCTAAGACTGAAAATTTTTAGTACTATCATTTCTTCATTTTGGGTTTTTTATAATCAAAGAAAGTCAGCACAAGACATCACTGCCGGCCTTTGAACACTCGGCAGGGTCTGAGCTCCACCTGCTGACTAAACACGAGTACTTAGTATTTTCGCTTTTAGTTACGGCTTTAATCTGAGGTGCTGCTTTGTATAGACAAAAAAAAAGTAGGGAAAAACCTCTAAGAGCAATATACTCTGCTTTAAATCCTGACAGGAAGCGTGTTTCTGGTATTGACTGAATGGACTGTCACTGCTGGATGAAAACCACAGGCAGAAATGCCTGTTAAATGACCATCTACTTATCTTTCTGTCCACTGGCACTTTACTTCCTTTTAGAAAATACTTGCTTTGACCAACATGAACTTTATTTTGTGTGTATGTATACTGTACATGTGTGTGCACACCTGCATATATGCCTATGAGTAGATGCTGGAGACTGAAGTTAGGCATTTCCTCAATTATTCTCCACCTTATTTTTTGAGACAGGATCTCTCCCTGAACTAGAACTTGTCAGTTTGGCTCTACCCCCTGTCCAGCAAGCTCCTGCAAGCTCCAGCAAGCTGCCTGCCTTCCTTCCCTGTGGCACAGGAGTTACAGAAATGCTCCCCTGCACCTGGCGTTTATGTGGGTGCTGGAGATATGAATTCTGGTCCTAATGTTTGCATAGCAAACACTTCCCAATTGACCCCTCTTCCTAGCCCTTTAAATAAAACTCAGAAGAACAGAAACATTTTTAAAGAAACAAGCAAATAAATACAATAGCAAACTTGAAAATAAATCAATCAAGCAGCCAAAAGAGATGTACTTATGTAAGTGAAAAAACAGTATTTTTTTGAAAAATTAGAGAAAGAACCTTTTCTTTGACAATGGTAAACAAAATACTGCTACATTATTAAATTATGTGCCATAGTCTATAAAATTGAAAAGTAATAATTGATCTAACAGTTGATGACTAAAAATTTTCTCATCCATAAAGAATTTTTACAAACACATGAGAATTCAAAGACTAGCTTTCCAGTTAGTTTGATCTCCTGATTCAAATTTGCATTCTAATTCTTCATTTTTACAAATGAAGCTACAGAGGTCTGGAGAGATGGCTCAGTCAATACAGTGCTTCTCGACAAATATGGAGACTTGAATAGAATTCAGTCCCCAGAACTCACATAAAAAAGCTGGGAGTGGTGGTGCACACGTGTAACCCCAGTGCTGAGCAGGCAGACCCCTGGGACTTGTGGCCGGCCAGCCGAGCCTAAGCAGTGAGCCCAGGCCAGTGAGATCCTGTTTCAGAAAACAAGCTGACGGCTCCTGAGGAACCACACCTGAGGTTGACATCCATGTACACGCACACACATGCATTTGTATCCCCACGTGTACACACACACACACACACACACACACACACACACACACACACACACAGAGTAATAAAAATAGGAGCCATAAAAATATAAAAAATTTATGATGGCAGAACAGGAAACCCCAGATCCCACGTTCCTCCTTTAGAAACATGGATCCAATAATTCATGGACCAAACCCCTTTATGAGAAATCCAGAGAGAAGTTAAAAAGTTCTGGAACCCAGGCTAGAGCAAAACCAATTGTCTCAAAGCAGGCAGGCAAATGTGTGGAACCTTCTCGCACAGTCCTCATCTCAGACCGGAGCCACAGGACTAGGAGTGAAGTCCCTGGAAGGAAGACTGGAGGGCAGCCCCAAGTCCTGAAGCGTTTGCTTCTGCCCTCTCTGTCTGGAAGCGCTGGCAGCAGGCGGCTGCTCCAGAACTACGTCACAGGACCCAGAGGCTGCCCCAGCTCAGCAGCACTTCGGGAAAGAGAAGACTGGTGTGGAATGGATGTCGGCTTTTCAATGAACGCCTAGGACTAGACTGGACTGTCCCAGTCGTAAGGGAGCACTCACATAATACGGCAAATTCTCCGGGTCTAGAGGCTGCTGAGAAGAAAAGAGAGCTGGATGGGAGCATGCTGCAGCACAGGAGATAGACAAGCAGGCACAACAGGTTCTGATCTCTAGGGAGAATAAAGGGCAAAGAAAGGAACTGGCAAAGCCCTCTAATTAGGTCCCCACATAGGGAATGCAGAAACCAGACCCATACAGAAGATCAGAGGGCTACCAGCTGCCTAGCAGGGCTGAGGAGTGAGGTCTGTCCGTGTGAAGTTGCTGTAGTAAAAACTTCTGAGAGGTGACTTTCATCAGATGGGTGTAGAGACCAATACAACACCACAAAGACACATGGGACACAGCTCCATTACAGGAACAAGCTAACTTCAAAATGGATGAGAGCAGGAGAGAGGGGAGGGGAACAAGAGAGAGTATGAGTGTTACTCACCAAAGAGATAAAGAACGGAAAAACAAAAAGAACCAAATTCTGGAGCTGAAACGTTCACTCACTAGAGGGGCTCAACTGTAGATCTGATCAAGCAGAGGAAAAACCTCAGATGATCTGAAATTACACAGAGGAGCAAAAATGAAAAAAAAAAAAAAAACCCGTTCTCAAAAAAACAAAAAAAAAAAAAAAAAGTGAAGCAAGCCTAGTGGAATTATGGGAGAACCATTAAGCAGAACAGTGTATTTCAGGACTCCTAGAAAAGGTCAAACAGTTAGGAAGCTTCTTTATAGAAAGGTGAAAGGAGTCAGGAATCTGAGACAGACCTCGGCTACATAACAAGTTTAAAGCCAGTCTAAGCTTCACGAAGCCCTCAAAAAACACAAAATAAAGACAAGTGCGTGCCTTTAATTAGAGCGCTCTGGATGCAGAGGTGGGTGAGTGGATCTCTGTGAACTGGAGGCCAGCCTGGGCTACATAGGGAGTTCTAGGCCAGTCAGGGCTGCAGGGGACCTTGTCTCCAACAAAAACAAAACAAAAAGTTTAGTGATGCAAAATGGCTTCATGCTTGTAATCCCAGTATTTGGAAAGCCCAGGTAGACAAGGCTCTCTCTTAAAAAAAAAGCAATAAATTAAAATAAAACAAAAGACAGATTATAATCCAATTGTCTAAGACCAGAGCAAAAGAAATTGTAAAAGCAGCAAGACAAAAACAATCCATCACATGCAAGTAGACTTCCAAAGACAGCCCATGGGTTTCTCAGGAGAAATCTCACAGGCTTCAGGGAATGAGATGGCAGATTCGAAGCGCTGGAAAGAAAAGCCCCAAACTACTAACTAGGAATGCTCTAGCTGGCTAAACTGTCCATCAAAATGCAGGTGCCATAGCCTTTCTCAGATTGACAAAGGCGGAGGAGCTCCTGGCCACGAGGTCCGCTTTATAAGAACGGTAAAAGGAACACAGTAGCCCACGAAAGTGCAGCTTGCCAACAAAGGCAACAAAGGTACAGACAGCTACCAAATATTTCAGTACGGTAATGACACCCTTCCCCCTTTCCCCGTGCTGAGGATCGAACCCAGGACCCATGTAAGGGAAAAGGGAAGTACTTGACCGCTGAGCTACATCCAAGCACAAATCACTTTTAATTTTGGCACAGAATCTGAAAAATAAAAGTCTACAGAATAATAATCAGTATAAAAATATGTGGGTAGAAACAAACCTTTAAAAGGCTAATTCATGACTTGAACACAAATGTTGGTGACAGGAAAGTCAATGTTTTGGTTGGGGAGACAGCTCAGTGGGTAAAGCACTTGCCACGAAACAGTGAGGAACGGGGTTTGAACTCCCAGGACCCACGTAAAAGCATGATGAGTCACCCCAGTGCTCCCACAGGGACAACGGGACACAGAGACAGGAGAATCCCGTGAAGCCCTTGGTCCCTAACCTGGCAGACGCAGTGGGATAACAACAGAGACCTTGTTTCAAACAAGGTAAAAGGTGAGGACACCTATCCGAGGGTGGACTCTAACCTCTACATATATGTGCACCATGTTATGTGTGTGCCCACATTCACACATGAATGCATCCCCTACACATTGTACACACACATACACACACATACAAGCAGATGTTTAGTAGAGTGGTAAGTGCTGTGTAGTAATTTCCTCCGTGATAAGACCTTCCCTCTTGGAGGGAAGCTCATCAAGATACAGTTCTCTAAAGCAGTGGTTCTCAGCCTGTGGTTGCAACCCCTTTGTGGGGGTCAAATGACCCTTTCATAGGTTCACCTAGGAGCATTGGAAAGCGCAGATGTTTACATTGTGATTCATAATAGTAGCAAAATTACAGTTATGAAGTAGCAATAAAAATAATTTTATGGTTGGAGGTCACAATATGAGAAACTGTGCTGGGTGGTGGTGGTGGCGCACGCCTTTAGTCTTAGCACTTGGGAGGCAAAGCCAGGAGGATCTCTGTGAGTTCGAGGCCAGCCTGGTCTATAGAGCAGGAGCCAGGACAGGCACCAAAACTACACAGAGAAACCCTGTCTTGAAACCCCACCCCCAATAAATAAATAAATAAATAAATAAATAAATAAATAAATAAATAAATAAATAAAAATGAAAATAAAATATGAGAAACGATATTTAAGGGTTGAAACACTAGGAAGGTTGAGTGTTGAGGGATATTTGATGACACTGTGTGAAGATGTGTTCATCCTTCCTCACCTGCCTAAGGCATCTTCTGATTGGTTTAAAAAAGAGCTGAATGGCCAATAACTAGGCAGAAGAGGATAGGAGGTATTTTAGGAGAGAGAGAGGAACTGGGGTGGGGTGGAGGGAGACTCTAGGAGGCGGGAGATTTGCCAGCAGGACGCCAAGGAAGTTGTTTGTATTGTACTGAGGAGAGGTAATGTGCCATGTGGCAGCACGTAGATTAATATAAATGGGTTAATTTAAGTTTTAAGAGCTAGTTGGGAACAAGCCTAAGCTAAGGCTAAGCTTTCATATTTAATAAGAAGTCTCTTTGTCATTATTTGGGAGCTGGCAGACCAAAGAAAGTCTGACTACAGTTGAGAAGCACTGTTCTTTTTTTTTTTTTTTTTTTGGTTTTTCGAGACAGGGTTTCTCTGTGTAGCTTTGCGCCTTTCCTGGGACTCACTTGGTAGTCCAGGCTGGCCTCAAACTCACAGAGATCCACCTGGCTCTGCCTCCTGAGTGCTGGGATTAAAGGCGTGCGCCACCACCGCCCGGCGAGAAGCACTGTTCTAAAGGAGGTGAAACATGAAACACTCCATCCACTCCAGAAGCAACAACTCAGAGGCTCCTGGAAGTTCCTGAAACTGACCAGAGAGACAAGCTTCCTCCTTCCTTAAGTACACATAAGCAGAAAGAACTGCTGAGAAGTACCCAGAGCAGCCAAGCTGCCTGGAAGAGGCAGAGCTTAACTGAGCTGCCTGAGGAGGCAGATTCCAGCCAATGTGCTCAGAAGAGGTTCAGACCAGCTGAGCCACCTGGAAAAGACATTCTCCAGTCTGTTGAGCTGCCTGAAGCTGTGCCCTGTGCTCCAGGTTTCCAACTTTTGTGTAAAAGTCATAGAAGAAGAAAAAAAAAATAAGGAGAAGTCTTCAAAATATTGATCTTCATAAATATCTGCTGGTCTAGAACTTACATATGATTCAGTGACTTCATTCTTAAATATGATAAAGTGTCTAACCGCCCATGTTCACTGTAGTGCCCAGGATCCAACAAGTAGAAACAACCTAAATGCCCACTTAGAGATGAACAGAGAAATACGCCCTACATGCACTGTATTATTCAGTCTTAGACAACAAGGAAATCCTGTTGGGTACTTCAACAAGGATGAACCTTGAGGATAGTATACTAAGTGTAACAGGACAGTCACAGAGGGACAGACACATACTGCATGACTCAACTTTACATGCATCATCTGAGTCACTGAACTCAACAGGGAAATGGTGGTTGCCACTGTATGGGGGAGGGCAAAATGGGGTACTGATGGCCAATCGGTGTAAAGTTTCAGGTATTAAGATTACAGGTTCTACAGATCTAATGTGCAATACCGTTTACAGTTAGTATTACATTACACACAATTATATAAAATACTATACAAAGAGGCAGATCTCATGTGGCTTTTTTTTTTTTAACCACTAAGGAAAAACAAAGCCTATTAGTAATTTTTACTCTAAACTGAGAATCTTACCCGATATGTAGCGGTTTGGGTTGCTATTAAAACGATCATCCACTAGAATAAGAGCTCCCCAATCATTTTTGTGTCGAATACACCTACAAAAAAGGGGAAAATAAAATGTGTATAAAACATTGAAAATAAAGCCAGATTTCCAAAGGGATAGTTATGAAAATGGTGTTCAGCTATGTATTACTGTAATCAATTCAGTCTGTTAAGTCATTTAGTTGCTCAACTGATTTTCAGTATTAAAAATGTGATGATATCTCTGTCTGCTCACTCTGGAATTTGGCATTTTTACTCCTTCACTGAGATGGGATTTTGAGGGAATGAAGATAATAAATGTTCAACTTTTACAGTTTAAAATTTTTAATTTCATATGACATTCTTCTTTGACATTATTTTAAAGTAAGGTACAGGTTCCAGGACAACAGATCATATAACACACGACAGAACAGGAAGAAGTTATATACTGTCATTATTACAGAAGGGTGCTGAAAATCAATAGGAAGTCAGGGAAATCTATTTGGGGTTTGCTTTGTGTTTAAAGTGGATTTTGGTAGAGAGGTATTTAAATTAATAAAACATTAAAGAGAAAAAGGTTTCATCTTTTCCATTGTTTTTACTGCCTTGCTCAAATGAATCATGCTCACTTGAGAAATGATATTATACTTCAAGTGAAGCAGACGGTGAGAAACTCTTACTTGTGACTTAGCTGTAAAACCATCTGGTGTATTTCTGAAGGCTGTTATTATATTCCACCGACTTTACTACTGCAGATGATTATAATGCCCATGTAGTCTTTAAAAAAGATGACAGTGAGGAGTTGGGGAAGTAACCCAGTTGGTAAAGTGCTTATGGGGCAAGCATGAGGACCTGAGTTCAGATCCCCAGAACTGACATAAAAGCCAGGGTGGTAGCACACTCCCCAGGTTAAAGAAAATCAGGTTTGATTGAGGAAGACCCCCTGAAATCCTGACTACAGACATAAACAATCCTAGAAAAGCTACAAGACATGTGATGTATATTTACCTGTTCACACACTTAACAAAAAAATCCATCTTTGGCTAACTTGTGTACAATGCACAGTCTATACTTGTATTAATGCAGATATGTATGTAATTACCTGCAAAATTTTATGTATTTTCAGAGCAAGGGGACCAGACACTAATGAAAACAGATGGCCCAGATGGTCCAGCATCCAAAACAGTTTCAAGGATGCTTGCCTAGATGGTCCAGTCTCACAAACTATTCCAGCCAAGACTTAACAATTATCCTGATTTTCTCAAGGTTCCCCCAAAGATTATCAGTGCCCCCAAACAACAGGAAATAGTCTAGACAATGATACCCACATCCCAAAAGAGAGGTTATGGATATTTATTATCATTTAAGTGGGGTTGGTAACAAGTTGTTGCTGGCCATGGTCAGAAAAAAAGCTGAAAAAGGAGATTAGATTCACAGATCTCTTTCTGAAAATAAAAGGGGGGGGGATATAGAAATGATAGGATAAAAAGGGTAGACTATTGAATCTATTTTTAAATTAAAAAAGCAACTACTAGTTTTAAATATTTTACATTGGAATGGAGTTGGTTTATTGATACAAATTTAAAGTTATTTTTGCTATACTATATCTATGTTTCTACTCTTGTTTGGGGTATTGTGCTTATGTAACTTTTAAAAATGGATTATATAATTAAGAAATACAAATTAATAGTTATCTATAGTAGTCAAACTTATAGTCATATTAGGTATGTTTTGATATATTTAGATAGACAGATGGTCTTCAAACACTTCAAAGACCTACAGAATATGGCATTCAATATGTTTAATAATCTAAGGCTTTTCATGACAGCAAGACACTCTACTCCTGGCAGCACCAATTTACTTCAGAGGAGATAATGGGCAATGAAGAAACTCCATATGAAGTTTGCCTTCCTTATGGCAAAAGCTAGCCATTTGGGCAAAAAACTGCCCTGCCTCAATTGCTGACTGTATACTGTCCAAACTGGACCAGCAGGACACAAAAGAAAGTGAGTGATAGACTTTGCCAAGACAAGGTAGGACAGCCGTTCAAAATTCCCTGCTTCTCAGAAAAGTCTGTCAGATATACTAGGCCTATAGGCCAAAGACAGATGCCCCCACATTACAGAAGAATTTATGGTGACTGTTCAGGCGGCCAGATGTCCCTGTCATTAGGTAACATTTCACTCTTCTGGGGTATTTGACAGAGTTGAGACTAGGTCATGGTTAAAGTTTTCCTTAGTTATAATAAAAGGTAAATTAGGTATAAAACTTTAGAATCATAAGATAAAATAGATAATAGAATACTTTCTCTAATTTTGACAAATACAAATGAGCTAGATATAGTAATTGTAATTCTTACTTAATAACTGTCTTTGTTATATATAATTTTACTATGTTAAAATTAAAACCTTCCTTTTAATTAGGCAAAAAGAGGGAAATGCTGTGGAATAATCCTTTTGTACACTGTAAAGGTATGTCACTTGAATTGGTTTAATAAAAAGCTGACTGGCTAGTAGCCAGGCAGGAAGTATAGGTGGGACAACCAAACCAAAGATGCTGAGATTAAGAAGGGTGGAGTCAGAGGAGACGCCAGCAGATACAAAGGAAGCAGGACTTGTAGAAAATGAGGTAGCAGGCCATGAGCCACATGGCAGAGAGTAGATAAGAAATATGGGTTAATTTAAACATTAAGAGTTAGCTAGCCTGAGCTATTGGCTGAGCATTTACAATTAATATTATGCTTCTAAGTGGTTATTTGGGAGTGCTGCCAGGACAGGAAAACTCTGTCTACACTTTGTGACAAATGGTCATTTGCTGATAGTGTCCTTGAAAATCAATAAATGACAATACAATTAATATACCAAAGGCACAGTATTGTGTGTGAATATTCCAAGTATGTGACTTTAGTGGTGCTTTGGAAAAACACGTTTTGAAGCTCTAGAAGTTGGCTGGCAATGTAGAATGAGGCAAAGCAGCAAACCTTACCTTTTCCATTATTTGCCAAGCAATTCTGAAGCATCCATGCCAAGCGGAGACATAGGAGGGTGCTGAGAATGCAAGTGTATACATGTGTTGGGAAGGGACACAAATACATACACACGCTATGATCTGATGATAAAATATACGCTACAATAGAGATAATGTACATAATCTTCTGGGTTTACTGGGGTATAAAGAGGTCTAGGTGAAGAAATAGAAGGTATCCACATAGCCATGACTTCAATCAGGCTATCACTGTTACTATGCCAATTGAATAGCATGGAAGCTTATGTGCCAAGGCAGAAAGGCTTGCCAGAATATGGTAGGTTTCATGATGAAAATGTTAGTGGACAGAGGTAGGGAATATAGCTGAAAAAGCAATTCTGTGGTTTTAAAAGTGTAGGTGGGGCTACAATGTGAAGGGCCATTTAATAACTATCTGAACTCAGCCAGGTAATTTAGTTTCAGATTAACCAGTCTGAAAACAAAACGGGAAAATTAAATTATGAGGTTCCAACTTGCATTGCTATTAGGTGTTATCAACTGACAAATCAAACGTGCTAATATGTGGAGTGTATAAATAATAAAAAATCCAATGGAATTTGTACTTCACAAGCTTTCTTGAAGTTCAAGGTGTTATTTATATTAATATTAAAAAATCAATAGAGGTAAGAATACTTAATTTTATAAAAATTAGTATAACAAGTAAAAGTCAAGAATTTAAAAATATATATTCAAGCTTTCCTAGAAACTATCGGCTGAATATTATACTTCAAAAAGAAACAGGCAGTCATCAGGAAGAGAAAACAAAATGCTTCAAGAAAACATGCAGTGAGCTGGGCGGTAGTGGCACATGCCTTTAATCCTAGCACTTGGGAGACAGAGCCAGGAGGATCTCTGTGAGTTCAAGGCCAGCCTGGTCTACAGAGTAAGCTCCAGGACAGGCACCAAACTACACAGAGAAACCCTGCCTCAGAAAACCAAAAAGAAAAAAAAAAAAAAGAAAATAGAAAACATGCAGTACAGTTGGGTGCCAAGGAAAACGGCATGCCAGACAGGAAAGGCAGCAAGACAGCAGCAGCTTAACAATGTAATTGGTTTGAAGAGAACAACAAAAAATTTAAATTAAAAATTAAAATTTTTTGAGACGATAATTTAAAAAGTGACCCCAGAGGCTGGGAATGAGGATGACTCAGTTGGTAAAGGGCTTGCCACAGTTCTCAACTCCCACTTCTGACATCCATGAAAAACATACTTTCCTAGAGTTCAAACTAAATGAAATTTTACCACATTGATTTTTTTTTTTTTTAATTCTCCCTGAGACAGAGTTTCTCTGTGTAGCCTTGGCTGTCCTGGAACTCACTCTGTAGACCTTGAACTCACAGAGATCCACCTGCTTCTGCCTCCTGAGTGCTGGGATTAAAGCTGTGGATCACCACCGTCCATCTTTCCACATTGATTTTTAAAAGTAGCAAATGTTACTTTTTCTTCTTGGGCACAGACAACACCCCAGACAGTACCACTGTAATCGATTTTACTTTACTCACCTGCCTAGAGCCTGATTTAAGGCTCTGTATGCTTGAATTTCATACCACTGACGGCCAGGCAAAAGGCCTCTCAACTTTGAATGGTGGTCATTGTACTGTCGTTTTAGTTCAACCTAATAATTTAAACATTAAAAAAAATGTTGTGGATAAGTAAAGCTTATTTTAAACATATGAATATCTAACATTTAAATTTTATTTAGAGTTTTGTTTTTCAGTTCTGAGTTTTTTCTGAGTTCATCCATTCTTACATTTTCTCAGTGCTCTCAAGTATATAATTATTTGTGAGAGAACATTTCCACACAATAAAATTCACACATTCTCAGTGTATAACATAAGTTCTAGGAAATGTACAGTCTGTAACCATCAGGTAATTATAACATAGATCATTTCAACACTGATATCTTTTCAGCTGATTGCTGTCTTAAACTCCTGGCTGTGGCAGCCACAGACTTGCTTGTTTTTGCCTTTTCTGAAATTTCAAGTAAGTGTTACTAGGCATTCTGTACTCATTTGTGTCTATACTGACTACACTGACTACATAGCATATTGTCGTGACACTCTGTGTATGCTCTAACAAATAAAGCTTGCCTGAAGATCAGAGGGCAGAGCTAGCCACTAGTTACCACAGAGGCCGGGCAGTGGTGGCACACACCTTTGATCCCAGCACTAGGGAGGTAGAGACAGGAAGTGATATGGCTGGGTGGAGTGAGGAATATAAGGCGGGAGGAGACAGGCGCTCTCTCTCTTTCAAGATGAGGATTTCGTAGAGGTAAGAACTAGTGGCTGGCTGCTCTGCTTCTCTGATCTTTCAGCTTTCACCCTGACATCTGGCTCCAGGTTTTTATTATTAAGACCAATTAGGATTCATGCTACAACATATTACTTTGGGAATTCATGCATATTAAAGTACATAAATGAAACACATACATATCCCGTTTATTTATATAGGCAGTGTGTGTGTGTGTGTGTGTGTGTGTGTGTGTGTGTGTGTGTGTGTTTGAATGAGAATAGCCCCCATAGGCTCATATATTTAAATGCTTCCTCACCAGGGAGTGGAACGGTTTGAAAGGTTTGGAAGAATTAGGAGGCGTGGCCTTGTTGGAGGAACTATATCACTGGGGATGGGCTTTGAGGTCTCAAAAGCCCATCCCAGGGCTGGAGAGATGGCTCAGTGGTTAAGAGCACTGACTGCTCTTCCAGAGGTCCTGAGTTCAATTCCCAGCAACCACATGGTGGCTCACAACCACCTGTAATGAGATCTGGTGCCCTCTTCTGGCCTGCAGGGAATACTGTATACATGATAAATAAATCTTTAAAAAAAAAAAAAAAGCCCATCCCAGACCCAGTCTCTGCCTGCTTATGGATCAAGATGCAACTCTCAGCTACTTCTCCTGTATCATGGCTCCCTGCCATTGATAATGGACTAAGTCTCTGAAACTATAAGCAAGCTCCCAGTTAAATGTTTCTTTTATAAAAGGTCATGGTCTCTTCACATCAATAGAACAGTAACTAACACACACAATCTATCTCATTTTTTTTCCAGTATCATGATCCTTGCTTTTTGAATGGAATAGTTATCTCATTTATATTTAATGAAGTTATTGTTATAATCAGATTTAAGGTTACCATATTAAGATTACCATATGACTGTTTTTTCCTATTATCCCATCTACACTTCCTTTTTTTTTGTATCAAAATTTTTTCTAGAGAGGCCACAGGCCCTGCCATTACAATGAGCAAGTGTGTGATGGAGATGGGAGAGAGGAAAAGCAGAGTAGTTTGTACACTAAGAGGCGGAACTGGAGATGTGCTGGGGATGAGGCCTGCGCTGCCACCTGAGGCCATGATGATGGCTAGGCCCAGGAGCCATGCCTGGGTCCGTGGCCCTACCACAGCCAGGCGGGGTCTGTGTCAATGTCCCTGGCCCGTGTTATCACCAAAGACAACATGCACATCTGTGGTCTGGGTTGCCATTTAAGGACATGTTGATGTCCAAGTGCCTCGCTAAGCTGGCCCCGCCCCTCTCCTGGGCATCTGAGAGAGCTGGCCTTGGGGCACGGCTGTGGGAGGGCTAGTTGGCTAACCAACTCAGCTACCACCCAAGCCCACATCCAGGATTTTGAGCTGGCCCAAGTCTACCCCACCTATGAGCTGCTGGAGCGCATGAAAGGACTGGTCCTGCAAACCCAAAGCTGCAGGAGCCCCATGACTCAGGGGAAGAGCAGGACATCCGAGAGGATTGTCGGTGAGGGTCCAGTGTCAATGGTATAGCAGAAGATGGAGGCTTTGAACCAGCCCGACTTGTTATAGTGAACATTTGTAAGTAAAGCTATTTGGACAAAAGGATAGACTGTGTGACACACTGTGGCTTCCGTGGCAAGATTTTTGTTTTATTTTTTATTTTCTTTTGGGGGAGGTTACAAGGGTGGAGGGCAGACATAGAAGGACTGGGAAATGAGTGGGATTGGAGTGCATGATGTGAAATTAACAAAGAATCAATTAAAAAATCACGAAGAAAAAAATTTCTTCCTAGTGTTTCCATCTCTAAGTTTTTTCCATTTGTTTTTTTATTTTAAGTGTATGATTGTTTGCAGTATCCTTGGAGGCCATAAGAGAGCATTCAATTCCCTGGAATTGGAGTTACAGTAAACCACCATGTCAGTGCTGGGAATAGAACCCAAGTCCTCTGGAAGAGCAGCCAGTGCTCTTAACTGCTGAGCCACCTCTCCAGACTCTAGTGTTTCCATTTCCATTTTTAGTGATTGCTCGGGAGTTTACAACACACACCTTAACAACACAATCTACCTTAAATAGTATTAGACTGTTTCACAAGTGGCATAAGAAGGTACTACAATTTATTTTCTTTTTATGTATTTTATGCCATTTTAGTTTTAGAAACACTATAAAACCATAATACATTCTTCTTATTCTTTTAAACAGAGCACTTATTTAAACTATTTCTAAATTATAGTATAAGTTTTGGTTTACATAGAAGTAAAACAATAGGACAGAAATTTCATATGCTCAATTTCCTCAGTGTTAACACATTATATTACTAAGTTACCTACTTCAAATTCAGAAACTAGCATTGGAATATTCCTTTAATCTGTGCTTTATTCAAATTTTCACCTTTGTAGTAATAAATTTTTTTTCTAACTGTGTAGATTTACACATAGCTTTATGGTTCCTGGCACTTTTTTTTTTTTTTTTTTTTTTTTTTTGTTTTTCGAGACAGGGTTTCTCTGTGTAGCTTTGTGCCTTTCCTGGAACTCACTTGGTAGCCCAGGCTGGCCTTGAACTCACAGAGATCCGCCTGGCTCTGCCTCCCGAGTGCTGGGATTAAAGGCGTGCGCCACCACCGCCGGCTCAGGTTCCTGGCACTTCTTGCTCTCATCTCTGGATTTAAGTTTCCAGATCACAACAAAGCAGAATGTAATGTGGGTGGAGATGTCATGAGGAAATTTATTACTTTGTGTGCTAGACTACTTTAAAAAGGATTCTGCCCATGAGTGGTAGCACACATCTATAATCCCAGCACTAGGGAGACAGAGGCAGACTGCTATCTGTGAGTTCCTAGCCAGTCAGGTTACATTGTGAGACCCTGCCCTTAAACAAACAAACAAACAAACAAACAAACAAGTTTAAAGAGAGAAACATTACTTAATACAGGTTTGCTGGTAATTAATTTTGGCCAGCCTTCCTTGGGAGCCGGGGGTTGATGACCCAAGGTCCTTCAATATGTAGCCCAGGCTGGCCTCAACTTAGGATCTTTTTGCCTTAGCCTCCTGAGTGCTGGGATTATAACTACATCTTCATTTTTGAGTAAAGAAATCCAAGCTGACATTTTTTTTTCCTTCAGTATGTTAAGATAGCACTAAATTATTCTGACTGGTGCAGGTTTAGACAGAAGTCTGCTCTTCATGTCCTCTGTATGACGTCTTATTTTCTGACTTTGTATTGAATTGTGATGCACAATTCAATTTAAGTTTTGCATCTTCTGCATGAGTGCAGGCCTTAAGGATCAGTGGGTTTAGGGTTTCCTTTACATTTGGAAAACTTTTTTCCCCCCCCAAGACAGAGTTTCTCTGTGTTACAGCCCTGGCTGCCCTGGAACTCACTTTGTAGACCAGGCTCTGTCTGCCTTCTGAGAGCTGGGATTAAAGGTGTGCGGCACCACTGCCCGGCTACATTTGGAAAACTTTTAACCATTACTGTAATCCTTTTTCTGCTTCCACTCTCTCTTCTTCTGGACTCTACCTGCACAGTAGTTTAGCCACTTTCTATTATTCTACAATGACTTTTAGTGCTCTGTTCAGTTAGTCTACTTGTTGTCACTCTATACTTCATTTTCAGGACTTTTTACTTCTGTATTCATGCTCACTGATCTTTCTTAGACACCTAACTGACCCAGTACTTTTTTTTTTAATCACAATATATTTTCCCATATCTGGACATGTCATAGAAGTACTTAAAATTTTATTTCTCTTTTCATCATGGTCATGCTTTTCTCCATCTTCTTTGACTGTATGAAACATGAAACATAAAACATAAGATAGTTTAATGTCCTTAACATGTCATTTATGGTTTTGTTTCTAGTGATACATTTTCTCTACAGTAGAGGCTGTATTTTTCTCTTTGCAGCCTGCTAATTTTTGATTTCTCTCTCTCTCTCTCTCTCTCTCTCTCTCTCTCTCTCTCTCTCTCTCTCTCTTCTGAGACAAGGTTTCTGTGTGTAGCTTTTGGAGCCTGTCCTGGAACTCATTTGGTAGACCAGGCTGGCCTCGAACTCAGAGATTCACCTGCCTCCGCCTCCCGAGTGTTGGGATTAAAGGCGTGCGCCACCATGGCCTGGCTTGACGCTTGTTTTCAAATGCAATGAGAACTGCTCCAGAGCATCCTGTGGATGCTAAACACTAAACATCCTGTGGTCTAGGGCTCATTTATTTCCAGAAAAAAAGTGAAACTTCTCTGTCCAATGCCCTGTGGATTATGAGCGCCCTCCCCTCCATGGCTATGAGAGCACAAACCAGTCCCAGCATCTTATGAGGTTAAGGAATTGTCCACCCACTCTTCCCAACCTCAGGAGGTTCCACTCATGTCTATGCCAACCACT